TTTTTTATATAATAAGACAAAACCAAAATAATAACAAATCTTCAGCAGTAAGACTTGCTTTGGAAAAAAAAACACCTACCCGCTCAAAGCTCGGAACTGTTTCTTAGCATCAACCACCAAAGCATTTCCAGGGATCACTCCTTCTTCATCTCCATGCATTACAGCAATGAATCTGTCAGTGGTAGGCTCGGGACCGATACGAATACCAGGGAAATCCTTAAAATTTGCATTAAAGCAGAGCAAAATGCCCGGTGAAATATGTATACTATGCGTACCTCTTCTAGGAGATATCTGATGAATGTTGTTTTACCGGTTGAATACTGTCCTACTAAGAGGATCATCGGTTTGGCATCGAAATCGGGATCATCTGTTTTTAAAAAAATTATACCGACAAACCGAAAAAATACTAGATTCCTTGCAAATGCCCATTAAACAAGAAGTTTGAACTGACCGAGAGCAGGTGAATGGAATTCATGGAATTTGTAATGCTCCTCCAGTGGGTAGAGCTTCTGTTTGTAGATCTTTCGCAGTCCTTCACTAACCGAATCTAACACCTACAAAAGACACGAAAATTCCTGTTTCAGGGCCAATATATAAGTTTCCCGTGATTAACTAGCAATAGTAAACCGAATCCCAAATCAGTTAACTGAGAACTCTAACTCACTTCCTTGTTCTTCTTCTTTGAAGAATCACCACCGAGCCAGCTAAACATGCTCTTTGGTTTTCTCTTCCTGATGACGTCTTCTGGAAAGAAATACAGATAAGAAGTACGCAATTATCTTTAGTTAGACAAAACCTACGAAATAAAAAGGATGTTACATCATTCGCTCAGCAAAAACTGATCAATAGGTTTGGGGAAAACATATGGGCGCATTCAACTAATCAAATAGCCCCTGTCTGACAATATCAGAGAAAACGTCAAGGGGGAAGTGAGAGTCAGAGTGAGTCAAAATAGACAAAATGATATAGTTAGGAATGGCATGGCTGTAGAAATGTGTGAATTTAATGCCTACTGAATTTGTTGCAGAGGACAGAAATAGTTTTTTCAAATCGTGAATGGAAACGTTGAAATTTACCACCAGTGGCCTCAGCCACCAAATAAGCCCTCCTAGGGGAAATAATGTAAAGGTTCTCACACAAGATCCAAAAAATGAGATGAATCTACTCATTTTAGAGATCGAGAGAACCAATTGTTTTTTTTTTTTTGAAGATTTATATTAGGCTGAGAATTTTGATTCGAATATTCTCGCAGCTGAGCTGCAGTCTGTCTGATGCTGAGAGCTATTGAAACTCGATATGGCATGTACTCTATCATTTATAAAAAAAGGGTCGATTGAAAATATGCCAAAACCAATAATAGCCAACTACTACCTTACTTAATCATACAAATGCGTCCCATTTGTAAATAATACAAGCTCAAAAAAACACAATCGATTATGCAAGGCACCATTAGAACGGATTAAAAGTGGGCAACTAACTATTCCAAATGAAGATAACAACGTGAACCTCTAGAAGACAACCAGAAATCAATCTTTTCTATTCCTTGGTACCTAGAGAAAAAGGAACAAGTCAAGCCACATCACGATGCACCCTTGTGAAGAGGTTTTCAAATGAAAACCAAGATGAAAACTGGGATAGAGGCAGAAAAACAAGAACAAAAAAGTAACTGAGAGAGTTGATATTGAGCAGCACTTTCAATCGATTCGTTGATGGAAGACAAACAAAGCAAAGGGAGCCGTTGCAGCACAATCATACCAGAGCTATTCAGAAAGCTCTAGAAGACAATAGTAGATGCCTGGTTCCTTTATTGTGGTAGACTGCCGCAGAAGAGTACGAGGAGACCGCTGGAAACCGCACATTGTCCGAGAAATGGCGAGCGAGGCGAGGCGGAAATGGGGACGATGAATCGATGACAAAGCGAGAATGAAACGGAGAGGCTAGAAGTCATCACTATCAACAACATAAACCGCCCTTCAGCCAAATTAGTATATCGGCAGAATTAAATAAATATTTGGCAAGTGGACCGAAATACTGAATATTTAACATTTCTAGAGCACGCGCACGGAATTTTGTTGTTAAGGAAAGGTTTCAAGCTCGTTTATCAAAGACCGCCCTCGTATCATGTTCGATATGTTGGCGATAAAAAGGCAATACTCGGAGATTTATGGATGACACATCTTCAAAGCCCGTAGGAATGATTCCGATAAAAAAGCTTGGGGTTAAACCAAAATTTGCCTTTTTACTAACCTAATATGGAGCAATAATAGTAAGAGTCTCTACTGGGCAAGCATTATCCCTGAATGCAGAGGAACGAGCTGAACTGGAAGCCCGAGAACACCCACCAAGTTATTAATAAGGACACAGAAGTTTAATCGAAGGGATGAAGAGGAAGAAACTCAAGGGATAGCAAGGAAAAAGACGGGCACCACTAATTTCGACCCTTAGCAGCCATCATTCATGAACGATGAAGAAATAAAACGCATGTATTCCCATTCAAGTCAAGCACTTAAGAACTGGACCCGAAGCTAGCAGGATGAGAACGCAGACTGGCGTCCAAAGCATCACAGAAACTCGAACGCCTAAAGACATTCTATAGCAGGTGGGATAGGAATACCGAGCTGAAACTAATTGCGATCGACAAGAATTACGCTGTTTTTTCAAAATAAATCAAACGAGAAAAACGATGGCCCGAATGAGCCATGCAATTCCAAAATGTGTAGAGAGTCACTAGCCCAAAGGGAGGAAGCTGTTTACACATGACGGGAACGAATGGAGGAGACGAGGCATGTGACCGTCGCCCGAGGAGTTCAACGATCAAAGAAAGGGAGCAGATGTGACTCGATATGCACCAATTACGTTATTTTGGCCGACCAATCGTCTTTCGAAAGAAGCTTTCGGAAACTTTAGCACACATTCAAACTGCACCCTTTTTTGATCCAGCACCAGCCTTTTGATCGAAAATCTCGGACTGATGACTTCAGTTGGTGGTTAGACCCTTAACCGAAAATCTTGAAAATTATGAGGATATCCACCATTCTTTGAAGCGTTTACACAAGTGTGGGACACTTTTTGACAGTGCCAGGAAATTTGCTGCATAAAATAAATTGAATTCCATAAAGTTCTTTCATAGGCAAGAACTTACTAAAAAAGCCTTACAATTAACAAATGGATGGAAGGATGATCAACTTCGCCTCCCACCGAGCAGTATTTCTACTCTTTTATAGAAAATTCAAACAAAAAAATTATATTCACAGAGAGGTGACCAATTTGTATCGAACAGGACTTCTCTCGGGTTACTTCTGGACCAAAAAAAACAACAGAACAGAGAGATGAAGACTCAGGAGATGCCAAGACACCCCATTTACATTACTTCTCCATTATGGAAAATGATCGAATTATAAGAGCGGCATTCCGTTGGGTAGAAGGGGCTTGAGGAAGTATCAAAGTGGATAGGAATGATGTTGTGCTCTTGAGAGTTTCTCACAGATAAAACGTCTTACGAATTCTGTCATCTCGCATTATACGCCGCATAGAGAAGGCCGTAATAGAGCGGGAGCAAAGCATAGAATACACACCCACCAAGGCCACTTGAAGACCGATTGCTAGAGGCTTACCACTATGGATACTGCAAAAGAACTAGAAGTTCATAGAACTTTTACTAAGGTGTGAAGACATTAGCCTTCGATTAAGCAAGTCAGCTTCATTTTTTAACTTGACCTCTAAATTTGAAGGGAATCATCAGAACTCCAACCAGAAACTTTTTTCAGTAGGATAAAGATGGTAAACAATTGAAAGAACTTATCAAGGCCTATCAATGGACTCACGCTCACGTAGCAGACGGACACGACGTGAGCTCTTGAGCAAGCAGCTCTGCAGCTGTCCGATCTTCGTACGCTGTAATTGTCACGCAACGGGAATTGTGCTGTCTCATTGACTGACACACAACATAGTATTTCAAGCACAACGCGTTGGGCAGTTATAAGAAATTACGGACAGCCTTCGTGGCCGCTTCGACACAGCACGTTCATGAGTAAGCACTTTGCAAAATGCACCCATTCCTACACCAAAATTTTCTACCGAGACTTCCTTATGAAGGTGAAAATTCCATTGTAATAAAAGAAAAATATGGTTACTGTATCGTCAAGATGGTGGCACCAAGCAAACTTAAATCCTCCCACCGTTTCTTTTCTCCGAAGCATCGGCCATTCATATGTACAGGAGCAACAAATATTTCTAGAATGGGCTCTATTGATTAGAAAGTAGTGACGAGAGCGGAGCAGGGACAACTATATCCCAATCTTTTAGGCGATTCCCACACAGAAATTCGTTCTGTACATAAGGAAAAGAGCACTAGTCGGAAAGAACTACGCGTATAGTATAAGATGGCAGGGTAATTATCATATTAAAATGAAGTAAAACTTACTAGCACATGTATTTCCCATTAAAGCACGAGCACACGTTCGGCTTCATAAAACAGGTAGTCAGTCGCTGTGGAGAGGAAATCCACTTGCCCACTCATTATCAGCCGTTGAACGAACCGCCTACCTACGGTTTTACATCGCTACGAGCAGACAAATAAAAAAGATAATACACTATTATTCCGTGATTGATGTTGATGAAGTATGCTTGCTCAATGGCTAAGACCATCCCATGAAATACGTGCGTAAATCTTCATTGCAAGGAACGACTGGTGCCATTTCTGCAGACTGGCTCCTCGACATTCCCCTTTCTTCTCGTTGTCGTGGAAGGCTACCACCAGAAGTAGGCATTTGAATGCATTTCCACTTATTGGGTAAGATGGTTAAGTCAGAAGCTGTACCGAAAAATGTTACGGCTTATGCATGAGGATCTCTGTGGTATTCTGTCCCCTCAGAACATCAATTCATGACTGCCAAGGATCACATCGTTTATATCACGCGAACCATAAACAATTGATGACTACTAAATGCGACTGACGGAATGTTCTCTCTCCCAACTGATGCAACTTCGGGAACACACGACGAGACAACGATTAATGGGATGGGATGTATGAGGAATTCTAATGAGCTTTGTTTTTCTTCTGCACTTCCTGACTTTACTGCGGAAATGGTCTGAGGTAGAAGTGGCTCCATAACCTCCTGGAAGGAAGCCTGGGAAGACGGAACTGCAAACATGTAAACCGCTGGCCCTTGCAACGAGCTTCCTTGCTTATAAATCAAAAGTACTCCGCGGAGATTTCGACCGATGATGAACGAGAGGCGACTTCCATTATGGGATCAATCAACGCTGAGTAATGTATTCCAGTAAATGGAACCAGAACTATTCATTCTCATTGGCATCAGAGCAGTCCCAATGCTTGGCACAAATTATCTCTATTACTTCTAGGAACGGCTTTCTGTGAAAAAGAGCATGAGGGTTGAAAAATGATTCAAAATCATGAAAACGCCCGAATACCGCTGCTACTAAACATTTGTCTATGAGAGCTACGTTTCGAAGAATGCGGTACACTTGTCATGCATAAAACAATTCGAAAGCGCTGCAAACAATGCCACAAAGCGTGGTTCGATAGTAACGGTGTTTTCAGGGAGGAACAACCTGATGCACTAGTCCTGAATATTATGACAGAGGATTATGAAGTAGAATGACAGAGCTATTCATTAGAAAGAAAACGATTACACAATGGAGGCATCAAGGAACAAGTTTTGCGGAAGGCCTTGAGACGAGCACATTAGC